GTACTTAGTGATCTCGCACAAAGAGTATAATAAAAGATACCCAGGTCGATGATTCCGGACTGCGGAATCGACCGGAAACGGTGTTATTTCCCGTGATTTTCAACGACATTTCAACCAGAAACGGACCGAAAAACTATCCGGAAGTTGGAAGCAGTATTCCGTTTGGAAATCACCGTATTGTAACCGGAGAATTCCGCACTATTCCCGCCACCATAACCATTAGGAAAAATTACCGGAACCGACCCGTGATCACACAGAATGCAATCGAAAACACGCTACGGAACTAAACAAATCCGACCGTTTCCACCTGGGAAAACTCCAGAAGTTCCAATCTTCTTGAGATCTCGCGAATATTTCCAAACACCACCACACGTACTCATGATAACAGTGGCATCACCAACTAACTAAATTACCAGCCACCTTCAGCAATGCAAATACCGCGCCGCACCGCTTCACCATCATCCACACAACCATACGATATCCGAAGTGATCCACAGCTCACCACCGAAGACTTCTTCCTTGAAATCAACCGTGAAAGACATTTAAAGATCTTTTTAATTCATAACCATCCATTTGAGGTGTGTGAAGTAGTATTCATTCATTTTANCATATAAAACAAGATTTAAAGTACTTTCTGGGTGAATTCCGACGAATGAGTGTTCAAAATGCTTGACATAATTGGTATTCTTGAAAAACCATCTTCAAGCATCCTTGTAGGCAAAGTGCAAGAAATGGTGCTTTCAAACACCTGAAACGGACCGTGGTGATTGAGAAAGATGTTTTAGCGCCTTTCATGACAGATTTCGAGGAAGGAGGCTACAAAATATCAGAAATGAAGGGTATTACACATGACGGATTTTTGGTTATTCACTTTAAAGAAATGCAATGAATTGGACTTTCAAATATCTCAAATGGAAATGATAGAATGTGGAATATCTCTAGTGATCCTTCTGATTGAAACACAAAACAAAGGAAGTTAATAAAAAATTCAAACATGTAGTTTGGACCCAGACTGATTTTCAATGATCTTTCTACATAGAAGCCAGCGAGAGGGACTTTCAAAAGCTTCACATCGAAGATATTGACTTAGTACTTTTTCGCAGACACTTCGATTTCGAACGGTATGAATGAGATCGTTAACTATTTCAGACAATCGGTTTAAAGCGAGAAACAGCTTCCAACGACTCTACCGTTAAAGTATTAGTCCTAATGCTTCACAATACCTGGTTAAAGTGCATTTGAGTGGTATAGAATATTGACATTGATGAATTGCGATCAGTGTTGAAATAAAAAGTCAACCTTGTGAATTTTGGACTGCTTCACTCAACATCTTAGTAGCTGATAGAGTAAACACATACGGGACTATGACCAATTAAACTGTGATCATGCTATTTGTGTTTGTTGTTGGTAATCGAATTTTAATAGGATTTTTGGCAAAAGTAATTGTTAATACGTCATGTATGCAATATTAATCAAAATTAGGTAGATTAAAAATATGTCGGAAAGATTTTGTGTGACAGAATTGGCAATAAGATTGAGTTAAATTTAGTCATCTGTTGATTTTAATCTAAAAATGTTTTTTACTCGGCTTTCTGTGATGGTTTTTGGAAAGTCAGTTTCAATCCAACTTTAAGGAGAAATTGTGCAGATTCGTTCTTCAAATAGGAAATATATATTTATTCTTGAAACTCACAATTTTTTTTCAATTAGAAAGAGGAAACATCGAATAGTTGTTATTCACTGGATCCGGTGTTCTGGAACGGCGGAATCCGAACTTCATACCCGGTTTAAAAGCGACCAAATTCTGGTTACGTATCTACATCGGAAACTATTCATATTCCTTCGTTTCCGATCGTCAAAAGGAAACGATCGGAAAAGTACTCCGGAATCCTGCAGTAAATGGAAACCATCGGAAACGTAGGACGGAACCCTGTTGTAAACTGAAACCGTATCCGCTTATCGGTTCCCTAACCAGGAGTTAGCGAGAAATACTCTGGAACCGGAGACCGGAAAATGTTTTGGAATACTGCTTTCGATGGAAAATCACCGGGTCAGACTGTTTCCCACCGTACGTGTTTGACCTGGGAGGCAAAGAAAAATTCGAAAAATTTTTTCAAGTATTACTTGGCAATGATTTAGTAACCCATATGTTTCATTACGATGAAAGTGAGGCGTAGTTACGGCGTAACTGCCATCGCACTGTGACCCGTAATTACGGAAAATTACGATATAGGTACGCGTAACTGCGATGAAAAAATCGCAGTTACGCGTACTTGTTGTGGAAAAATCATAGTTACACGTAGCTGAGTCGCATTTTTTTGCACTTACGGGCCAGAGTGCGATCATTTTTGCGGCAGAAATACACCGCGATTGCTACATGAGATGATACAGATTAGGTTTTATTTTCATTCTTAGTTTTATTATGAGTTAAAAAAAAATTTTAAGCACAGAAAATAAAAAGCTTAAAACTATAAAATTAAATCTTTTATAAAAAAATTAAAAACAAAAGTTTGAGAAATAAAACAATTACTAAAAAATTAAAAGTTAAGAAGTATTTTAAAATATAAAATAATTAAGGAAAATAATAAATTGGTATCTGTAAAAATCAAAAAATTAACATTTAAAAAATTATTTACACTTTAATAAACAAAAGAAAAAACTTAAATTAGTAAAATTTTTAAAACAAAAGCCTAAAAAGAAGCTCTAGAAATTATAAAAAAAGTTTTAAATTAATAACAACACTAGTCGACGATCTTGACTTCGATCTGTCCGGATTCTTGTTTTTCTTGAATACCAGACAAGATTCTTTGTAATCATAATATTCAGGCAAGATTCTTCGGCACAGGAAAGAATGGCAAGATATTCAAGATTTTTTTAAATTCAGACAAGAATCTTTTTTCTTTTCCTTTCAACGATTCTTATTATATCTTAAAGAAATTATCACGTGATGTTTTGTGTGTATATACTTATAAATATATAGAAATTTGAACATTATATCTTTTTTTTTCTAGATGACGCGGACGAAGTATAACGGTTATATTTTTTAAATAGACAGTTGTGGTCAAGTATTTTTCATTTTTTTTTTAAAATTTTTTGTACGCGTTATGAGCTTATTGTATATTTCCTTGCGCATGTAATGTACTTTTCTTGTATTTTTTTTATTTGAAATTAAAATATAATAGGACCAACAGAAGGCAACCGTATGGATGCCTAACTGGAATTCATTTGTGTTGCAAGAATTTTTTCAAAAATGGTAAGAATTGCAAGAAAACAAGAATCATGTAAGATTTGCAAGAACACAAGAATCTTGCCAGAAAGACAAGATCTGTTTCTTCAGGCAACAATCTTGTACAGAAGGAATGACAAAAGAATATTGTCTGATGTTCAAGAAAAACAAGAATCTGGACAGATCGAAGTCAATATCGTTGACTAGTGAAAATCTAGAAAAAATTGAAAAATTGAAAAATTGAAAAATTGAAAAATTGAAAAATTGAAAAATTGAAAAATTGAAAAATAAAAAAAATAGTAATAAAATTTAAATGAGAAAAATATTTAAATATTTTTCCGAAACATGTATTCTACTGTTTATAGTAGAATGTGTTTATGAACCGAACTTTCGATGGACAGTGCTTTTTATAGTAACTTTCTATGACTAATTGTTAGTGTTCGAGAGTGACCAATTATAAATAAGAAGGAATTATTTATAATTGGCCAGTTACAGTTACAACGGATCGTATGATGGGATCACTAGAACGCAGTTATGGCGATCTGGGTCGCATTAGGCGTCGTATTTAAGAAAAGTCTTCACTACGATCAATGCGCCGTATGTACGCGTAACTGCGACGTATAATTGGCTCTGCACGCAACTGCGGCGTAGTTGGTAAAAAAAGGCGACATGGGTAAAGGTGACGAATGATATTGAACAAACAAAAGGACAAGCATGGATCATTTGCTATCCATTGATTCCAGAATTACTTAAATACAATATGGATTTGCATCAGTTTTTATAAAAAGCTATGATATTATTAAATATTGGCCAAAATGTTAAATCTAATTTTAATGATATATTTCAACGAATAATTTTCGAATTAGAATTCTTAAAATATCGTTTTGCTGCACAAGGAAGCACCAGAGGCAATCATGAAAAAAGAATAAATGAAGTTGAAGCTGATATTAAACTACCAAAAGGAAGACTGATGGCTTTTAATGCCGTCAAATTATTTCGATATTACTATATCGATGACATACTTAAAGGTTCTCCATTCTCAACGTGGAAGTCGTTTACCGGTAAGTTGATATGAATATTGAGAAAATTAATCTTTTAATTCTAAAAATTCATATTGAATTATAGATGAATGGGCTAAGCGAGAAAGTGCTGTCTTGCATAATATGACGGCTACCCAGGTCGACTAATCTGACGACGGATTCTATCGGATCCTAAAACATCCTACTAACCGAGGAAATTCAGTTGGATTCTGGGTTTCGGAACTATTGACGGATCCGACGGAAGAATTTTAAAAAATATCAAAATTCTATTTAGTGCAAAAGAGCTTTTTAGAAGTTAAGTATAGCAGACTTTTTGGCGCATCGGATCCCAGAGTAGGGTACAATCGGATATATATCGGATTCCGATCCTGTGGATCCGAATCTCGAACAGAAACCCGGAATCCGACGGAATCTGTTCGTTCTTGTCGGTTTTCATGTAAGATCCGATCCAACCCATTTTCAGATCCAATTGGGTCCGATTGTATGAATGAACGACCTGGTAATAATAATACGATTATAACAATAATGATCCAACAATAATCAATATGGTTAAACAAGATCCATTCATCCGTCAACTCGTTGGACCTGTTGAACGTGAATTAGCACAGAAATGGAAACTTAATTTGAAGCTCAAAACAATTCGTGATATTGCCAACGAGAGGCATGAAGTTGCACATGATCCTATTAAAACGGACATACCCAGGTTGATCAAAACGGACTCGTTGGCGGTCTGTTTATCGACGGTAAACGATGTCAAAGCGGTATATTTACGGCAGTAAATAGGCCATATTTGCCCGTAATACTTGGCGCAGTAATACGCCACCGTAAACAGGACTGAATTTTCATGGTTTACGGCTGTTTGTGCTCCGTGCTCTGATGATAATACGGTCCGTATTACTGCGCCAGATATTACGGCAAACTTTCGCTCGTAAAATAGTCGTAAAGTAACCGTCAACGGCCGTATACGGATCATACTGTTCGACCTGGGTAGACTAACGATGTTTTTTGGTAAAATGCAATAATTTTACATTTCCTGTAGAATACCACTATACTACAGATATTAAAAAATTAATTAATATTTTAAATGGAACGAACCTTAAACGATATTATTAAAAGTCTACTCCCTTATTCATTTGTCATTTATTTATTGTATTTTTGTTATCTATAAGATTGTCTTGAACTTTTTTTTGTTTCAATATAACATCATATTTTTTTCTCTATTAAGGGGGAATCCCCCCTTAAAAATTATTTCCCACTTAGACCGATCCATTTGGGCTGAAACTTTCGGGGATAAGTGACCCTCGTGAGAAACTCTTCCAGTAAAAATTTCAGCTTGATATGTTGAACTACAATGGAGTTCCAGTTTATTGATGAGTCATATATATAGGTTCAGGAGAATTTCTAAGACTTTGCCATTGAAAGAGCTAAAGAACTCGCATTAGTTTTAAATTGAAGCTAACGGCTGTGTACAACTTTTGTCCGAACAGAATCTTGAAATCTTCTTCCATTCATTTTTTAAGAGCATTTCAACGAACCTTGAGTCAAAAGAAGTCCATCCCACGACATAAAATTTGACTTTTTTCAGCCCNTCATTTTTTAAGAGCATTTCAACAAACCTTGAGTCAAAATAAGTCCATCCCACGACATAAAATTTGACTTTTTTCAGCTCAGGAATAGAATATAAAAAATCTGGTCGGACAAAAATTTACTCGTACTTAGAGCTGTAAAACAAAAAGAAAATTCGATTATACCTTGAACCATGCAAGAGAAGTTTCATTTTTTGTGATCAAAAATCATATTTTGAGAAAAACGATAAATAAAAAAAAAATTTTTTTTTTACAAAAAATCAATAATAATATGCCAAAAATGGGCTATGTTACAGTGTAACTATAGGCAAGTTGTTTTTATGGCATGTACTCGATGAAGTCAGCTGGCGCTATCTATAATGTTTGGATACTATTCGCTTCCTGTTCTTTAACTGCCGCGGTTATTTTGTTTTAGTGTATTGATTCTACGCCTTACTTACAATTATTTTGTGGAACTCACATATATTTTCGAAGAAAATGGTGAGTGTAAGTTTAAAGGCGAGATTTTTGCGGCTTCCCACCCCCTCTCCATTACAGACATTAATTAGTTTAAAATTGTGGAAATTAGGAGCTTGACTAATTAGGCTGCTATTTCTTCATTTTTTAATTACAGACTACACGAAAAACGCAATGGTTACCCATTACAGACCATAGTAACTAGCTTAAGGTACCATTACAGACCATAGTAACTAGCGTAAGGTACCATTACAGACCATAGTAACTAGCTTAAGGTACCATTACAGACCATAGTAACTAGCTTAAGGTACCATTACAGACCATATTAACTAGCTTAGGGTACCATTACAGACCGTAGAAACTAGTATCTGCCATCGTTAAATATACCAGCTAATAATTAATACTCGATTGCAGACATAAGCAAATAGGCAATGACCTAATTATAGGTTTTGGAAATCAGGGTAGATTTTTCAGATGAACTATTTTTAATTATTTTAGTAAGCCGAAGGGATATATGTGAGTTCCACATTTTAGCCTCAAAGGGGCTGCGCTAACTAGCTTTTTTAATTAAACAAATAATCCGATGTTTACATCCATCAGACGTCGATAAGGGCAATGCATCACGAAAACCTAACGTTATCTTCACTCTTGATACATTTATTGAAATTTTTCGTTATTAATTGATATTTTTCCCTCGCTTTTCTTTTTATTTTGTTGTAATGACAACTTCTTATGTGCATAACATATTTGCTATGAACAAACTTTCCGTATTACCCACCTAAGAATAATGAAAAATTTCAAAATAATAAAATTTCGATCTTCTAAAAAATCCTTACATTTTTGACCAATTTTTATGCATTATATGTTCAATATCAATTCATAAATGTGAGATTTATACATTAATTGTCATTACGCGCTTAATAATTAGCATAAAAACGTTTATTTCTAAGTGGAACACTCTAAAATTAAATGTACCTATGTGTCGTATTTCTTGCGTTCTCCGCGGAGAACGCAAGAAATACGACACCAAATGCTCGTTGCAACACATAGGCACATTTTATTTTAGAGTGAAGTTTCAAATTTTCCAAAAATTGAAAGTTTCTCAAAAACCCAGATAGTAGAACCTACATTTTATATAATAGATTTATCAAAATCGAACTGTTTTTCAACAATCTATATATATTCTGAAAGAGGAGACTTTGGAGCATCTTCCTATGATAGAAACTCAATTTCGATTTTTTATGAAAAAATCGAGTTTTTTAAGGGGGGGTTCCCCCTTAAGCTGACTAGACAAGACGGGTATGCAAGACGTTTCAGACTAGACTTGACGGAAGCTGCGGACATTTCTGACTAGTCATGTCGGCAGTCTCCCTTCATTTTTTGCTTACTTGGGGCATATGGTAGTTGAGTCCAAAAATTTCGTTTGAATTTCTGAATTTTTTCGTCAAACTGGGGCCATCCTTTATTAATTAATGCGCTTAGTCGATTGGAAAACTCAACAGAACTCGAATTTCTCTCTCCCTACGAAGTTCGAGCAAATGTATAAATCTCATTCGCATAGTATATTGTGTTGCTACAGATACCCCAGTTTGTAAGGCAGATATCTCGAAAACGTGCCTTGAACCTAAGAATCAGACTTTACGAAGTGTTAGTGAACTACTTTGAGAATCTAATGTGCTAACCTCATCCTCCGAAAAAGTGGGATGACCAAATACATTAACATGATCAACATATGTCATTGATTAGATGATTGATCCCGATTTGTCTGTATACTAATCCTCGTCTAAATCATTAGCGTCATATAGAAAAAGATTGTTAATAATTTGAAGAAGCAATTATCGGTCACAATATTGTGTCGGGCGACATCTTGCATATATTAAGTATATTTTTATAGTCATTCGGTTGAACGAACAAATAGGCACCGTTGACGTATACCTTTTCGATATGTATCAAAATGACCGAAAGAAAAAATAGCAAACGAAAGAATAGAAAAAAAAATAATGATGAATACAAAAATGCTGACATACAAAATGACGAAAATAATTATAGCGAAAGAAGAAATGTCAATCGTATAAAAATACCGAAAATATATATTGAAGCAAAAAGATCGAAAATGTCCGATACATCACTCAGGAACACTTAATCCTTTAGTTCAGTACTAGTATCTACTTGAAGATGCGGATCCAGCTCAGTGATTCCTAGTTTCAGCTAAATCTACACCTTATCCTCACATCTCACATAGACACTGTCGTCTCCGAAGTGATCACTTAGCAACCGCCTATTTTTTGTTGGTAAATACTAACAAGAGGGTTCCAAACTGTAATTGATTATCACCCCAGTCTCGATCTTTTGGTTTTTTCTCCAGCAAAAGCGCCAGCATCTTATTCATTATTTTGCTCAATAATTATCGAAAAATTTCCGAAACTCTCATAAATCCAGTCATTCTCGCCGAGAATCTTTCAACCAGCCCATTGAGAAATCGACGTCGCCCTATCCCCAATATTGGCATCCTGGAAATACCCTGTTGGACATCTATTAAGATTTTGTGTATTCAAATATCTTCATTTTGCTACTCGAATGTTAAAATAAAAAAATGTCGACATCCTTATATGATCGATGCTCAATATTTTCTTGCTACGAAATCGTTCGACATTTTATTTTCGGTATTTTTTTCTTCGTCATTCTTTTCTTTCGCTATTTTCTTTTCGTTATTGTTTTCTTCGTTATTCTTTCGGTCAATTTAATGCCATTCATCTTCTCCTTGTATAAATATCTCCACTCAATTTTTTCTCTTGTCATTCTAACCGTCACCCTAGTGAAACATACTCGTCCAGCGAGTACGACTTTGCAGCATGAGTACTCCAATGAGTTTTCTCCCTAAGAATGACTCCTACACGAAAATACGAGTACTCGAGGTAGTACTCATCGATATTTTTAATGCGATGCGAAGCAGAAGCATTTCTGTAGTCCGTCGCGAGTTTTTTTTTTAATGCGATGCGAAGCAGGAAGCATTTCTGTTATGCGTCGCGAGTTTTTAATGCGATGCGAAGCAGAAGCATTTCTGTTATGCGTCGCGAGTTTTTTTTTTCGTTTTTACTTGACCGG